AAAAGAATCAAAAGAAAATGGAAATGGTCGGTCAAATAATGATTTTTCTTTAGTTAGAAACTTGTAAAATTTTTCAAATGGGCTGAATTAATTACAAATCTTTCATTATCCTTTCATTCTTAATGACTCCCAAACAAGCAATTAATGTCAAAAGAAGCTTCTCTTCCATTTCTTTCCTCTCCTATAGACTCTCGAAACACCTCTACATGCAGGAGCCCGACTTCATGGTTTTGTTGGATTATTGCAGGTTCAGTATCTTGTGTCCCACTGGGGGACAGACCCAAATACACTTGGCTGTTACTCATATGACTTAGTTGGAAAGCCTGATGATGTGTATGACCGGCTTCGTGCACCTGTAGGGAATCTATTCTTTGGTGGGGAAGCGGTGAGCTTGGATCACCAAGGATCTGTGCATGGAGCCTACTCTGCTGGAGTCATGGCTGCTGATAATTGCCAGAGATATCTCTTGGCCAAGCAAGGCCACTTGATGGAGAAGCTGCCTCTAGTTACTAGCGTTAGGCATGAAATGCTTGAAACTGCTATCCCCCTTCAGATCTCTAGGATGTAACTTTCCCTCACTATGGAACTTCGACAAATGAAAGTGCACTTCCTTGGGTTGTTCTTAATCACTACCAACTATTTCCAGATGACAGTGTTGTAGTGCCAAGAATCTGACAAGGAGTTGCTCCCTTTTAAGTAACAGTATCAGCTTTCCAAGGAGTTATGATAAATTTAATTAATAAAGTTCCTCTCTTTTAAGCAACAGTCTCAGCTTTCCAAAGAGTTACGATAAATTTAATTAATAAAGTGTGGGCAAACCAAATTGGTTTCGTAGGCGTGGAAGCAGTCATTAAAAGTGATCTATAACGTTGATGTTTTTATTCTTCTTTGGAATGAATTCTTTACTTTTATAAATTGGAATTAATTTATTGGTTTTGGAATTACATTCTATCTCTTCAAATGGTATTTCAATGACTGCACTAATAAGCTTTCAAATGTAATACATTCTTATAAAACTGAGAAATGTATCTAATCTAAATCAAGCTAAATGAGATCTCTCCGTCTCTCCTTTTAATTTCTCCCTTGCTTGAAAGATCATTTTTTGAGTTTGCGATCAATAGAAGTTGATTTTGACTTTTGAGTATTAAACGTCCTTCTAACTGTAACTTCAAAAATGCTACTGGCGTCACTTTAGAAAAATTTGCTTTCTAGGAATCACGGACTAAAGGAGATTTTTCCTTATTAAAGAAAAAGAGGGAGAGCATAAGTTGATATTGAAAGGACAAGATTCAAGGACATCATTTGTTCACACCTCTTTGTGAGACATTAAATATAACATGTAATTAAAAAAATTTACTTTTGATGATAATTAGAATACTTTTTGTTGTCCTTGACAGTGAGATCACAACAATCAAAGCCTGTGCAAGTAAAAATTAAGGACAGCATTAGAATCTTAATCTTTTTTGTCCGCCCTTTAGTCACAGAAGCCATTCGTTGTCCCGCTAAGAGTGGCTGAAAGATATTATAAAACTCAATGTCTTGGTGCCTTAGATTTGACTGCAAAATCCATGATTACTCTCCATGGATGGAAAAACGGTGAGCCAAAATTAGTTTAATATTACCTCTTCTCATTAACATAAGATCTGGTTGATTAATTTAGAGAGATTAAAAAAATTAGTTAAACTAATTATTTGTAATAAATGTATATTTTCTTTATCAAAAACATCCTTGTTAATTATGTCATTCATGTGTATCTGAATTTCTCATTGATAGTAACTCCTTGATATATGTAATTATTATAAGGATTATTTGAGGACAAATCAGATAAATATTGAAAAGAAGGTGGATTGGGAGTCTTATATTTAAAACTAAATTAAATTTCAAACTAGTTTTTATATTAAGAACAAGAGGTAGTAGTACTTAATAGTTTTGAGCATATCTTAGAGGCCTTTTTAAAAAGATATTATTATACTTCTTCTGATTCTAAATATAATAGCTAGTTAATAATTGAATTTAGTTCTAAATATAATATCTCAATTTACCTTGTCTCTCATATTTATTTATTTATTTTCAAAATAATCCCTATGATGATTGTACATATTAAAATATTTTTATTTTAGTACACAAGAATACTTTAGAGAATATAACACTTATTTATTATGAATAACTAATTTAATTAATCTTTTTAATATTGCTCAATGTCTTGTTACATATATTTGACAGCAAAATCTTTCTAAATCATATCTTCCCGACTGAGTCAAACCAAACTGGTGTTGGTCCAGGTTGGCTCAACATGAGAAGGCTTTTTTCCCCCCCGGGGGGGGAAGGAAAGAAAGAGAAAGATTTAAAGAAATTAATTTTATCAATTAATCAAAAGCATGGTATTATCTTCAAACATAATATGAAGATCACACATTATAGGAAACAAACATAATCAAAAAATTTAATAATTATGCGCTAGTGTATATAATATTTCGATGCATAAAATACATAAAGAAAAATAATCCTGTAAAATCAATCAATGTTCATAATTTTTTTTTTAAAAAAAGAAGATTAAAATTTTTAAAATAGATATCAACCAAAGTTTGCCAACTGTCGAAGCTCGTGTTTGATTCTAAGCAGGCCCCGCTTGGCCCATATTTGGACATTTTTTGAGGATCCTGCGGCTTGGGGCGGCTTTCCCCGGAATCAGATCTTCTGAGAAGCAATTTTCTCAGCGTCCCTCAGCGTCCTAAAATCCAATCCGTTTAAATGATCTAAAAGCTCATATTGGGCCAAGTCATCGAGCCTTAAAATTGAATGTCTCATCAGTGCGTCTGGTCCCACAAACACTGGCAGTGCCGTCTTCAACCTTGGCCTTCTCTCTCTTCCCATCTTCCGATCCCCGCCCACTTGTTGGTAAACAACCATCTTGTGCATCGCCATGCTCAATCTCACGCCTCTATTTCTCACAACTTATCCTTCTCCCCTTCCTATATCAAGACTTTAATTCCCTGCAACACAGGGCGTTGGCCAATCTTCTCTATGGCGACATTTCAAGAGCCACCGCGAGTGAAGCCTTGCTCTGAATTCGGCTGTGGGTCAAGTCCCTGTCTCTTAACTCTCACTGAACAACACAGAAACATTCTACTCTTCTTCTTTCGATCCTAAATATAAAACCTTTATACCAGTATATATAAAGGTCTTGTATTAGTACCGGAGTATTCTAATGTAACAAGAAAAATAGAAACATTCTGACATGAATTCATCTCAATTATATAGTGAGGATTTGCCATAATTGGCGTTAGTCCATCAACACTCTGTGATGGGTCATGAATTCACGCGTCAAATTATACGCCATGACACTGCTGGAAAATCTCGGTACTGTCTTATGCTGATGTTATCAACTGTATTCATATATAGATTAGGAGTTAACTTACATAAGCTGATCCGGCCAAAACAAATTTACATAAGCTGAAAGCTGAGTGGAAGGAAAAAAAAAGAAATATTGAGAATGAAGTTTGGTTTACAGATGTGAAAAGGTCCCTTGCAAGGATAATACGAACAACAATTCACTCTCAAAGAATCAGGTCTTAGCACAAAACTTGTCTGTAGGATACCTACGTACAGGACTTGAGGGGTCACCAAATGTAGAAACACTGCATTTGTATGGTTCTCTTTCACTAGCCAAATTTGACCCTCAACAAAAGTCATGTTTCTGATATAGAAACCCTATAGTCTCCCACATGCCGTGGTTTCATCTTCCCATCATGTTATGTATTATGGGCAATGCAAATAATTCAGGGGATGCTTCAACTCAATGAGAAATTCATAAGAAAGCTGTATAGTTCATGTGGCTACTGAGGAGACAGAAGCCGAAAGGTGGGGGGGTCGGAAGAGGAGAGAGAAGCAGAAGGTTGAAGACGCACTGCCAGAGTTTGTGGGAGCAGACAGCTTGATGACTTGGCCCAATGTAGGCTTTTAGATCATCTAAATGGACTGGGTTTTAGGACGCTGAGGGACGCTGAAAAAATTGCTTCTGAGAAGATCCGGTTCCGGCTTTCCCCCAACTTTCCTGTTATCTCTCAGCATCTCCGCAAATGACAACGGGATCTCGGCCTAACCCTGCGATGTTGTTCCTATTACATTATGTTGTCACGTTCCGATCATAGCTTTTCTTATTATTTAGAGAAAATTAGAGAGAATGGTAATAGAAAGTGATATTTACAGAAAATATCATAAAAATTAAAATTATTTAAAATGACTAAATATTCAAATATAAATTTAAAGGTATCATATTCTCCTTATCCAAACCTCCTACATATAATTTATCAATAGTTGCAATTGTGACAAAAAAATTTATTATGTTACTTAATCACGTGTATATATTAATATACTATTTTCTGTGTTTAATATAAGAGTTAAATAACTAATTTGTAAAAATTAAAAAAAATAGTTAAATTAATTATTGTAATAAATATGTGTTGGCTTCTTTAAATTACTTATTCAACTCAGCCATATACACTAAAAAGTACATTTGAGTGAAAATATTTTATAATTAATGTGAATATTTTTAAAAACACATTATAAATTTAAGAAACAGAATGGTTTGGAATCTTATATTTAAACTAGCTAATTAGTTTTTATATTTAGAGCGATAGTCTTACTTTTAATCTCTCACTTAGTAATGTTTGTGATGCATGGAAAATAGGAAAGAATGTTTGCTGCTCTTGTATCTGTAATTTTGCATCCCCTGAATAAGAGCAAAAAAGAAAAAAATTAAAAACAAAGTATTTTTTATATTAAGAAACAATCACACTGAATAAAAAGGAACATATACAGCAGAATGTTATTTTCCCAACCTACTGTATATTGCTTATAAAGGATGATATTCCAGTTATTTAGAATTTTAACAATTATTTAATTTTTTTACCTGATAACAGATATAAAATACATCATGCGGGTTTAGTCCCCAAATACAATACAGTGTCTATAAATGATATTAGTTAACACGCAGCAATCATTGTGAGGGAAAAGTTATACAACCGAGAGAGTCTGCTTTGGATTCTTCTTTCTCTGTCTTTGATTCCAATCCTCGGCTAATTGTGTGATTCTCTCAACTTCTGGGAATTTCTGTTTTTCCCTCGATTGGTTGGGTCTAGGTGCGCTTCCCTTCCAATCGATTCAATTTATTACCATGGCTACGATCGGGCACAACAATCTCAACGCCAAATTGGTGAGTTTGATTTTGATTCCTTCTTATTTCTTTGTTTTTGTTTCCTTCCCAGGTTTGAGGTTATAATACTCTCAATTGATGATCAGGTTCTCCTAGGTGATATGGGTGCCGGAAAGTCCAGCCTGGTTTTGCGATTTGTCAAGGGTCAATTTCTTGAATTCCAGGTTATTTTACATCATCATTTATTTGGACCTTCTCTTGAAGATTTTGCTGCTTGTATTTGGGTTAGGTGTGCTTGAAATTTTACTTAAGAAAAGCTGGCTATACTGATAAGCTGAAAATATTCTGTGAATCAGATGTCTTTCTGCGTGGACAAACAATTTTTTGTCATTTTGAATTTAGCTCGTTTGAGTGAAGTTCAACTGACTTTTTTCTCGGATAAAATTATAATGTGAATTTAAGTTTTATCAGCGATGTGCTGTTTTAGTTAGAATGTTTCTAAAATCCATTATTTAGAAGGCGAGAATCGTTTCTGCTGATCACAGAAAGCACAGGTTTGGATGCTTTTTCCCTTATACCCAGGAATCTTTGATACTCTAAGGCAATGTGTGGTGGGCAGAAAAATATTTTCTAGGAAGGAAATGTGAAAGAAAATAGGATAGGTGTATTTCTCATTTCCTTTCTAGAAAACACTTTCCAAACAGTGCATAAAGAAACAAAGGGGGGAAAACGATTGTGTTTGATCTTCTATTTACGACAATATCCATGTTGGCGGTTTTCGTTCCCATGTATGCTAGTTTGTGCCAAAGCCTAAGAGATAGACTAATTAAGTCTCTGTTGCTGAGTTTATGGTTTATTGTTAGGACAGGAATCAACAATAGGGGCAGCCTTCTTTTCACAGACATTGGCGGTTAATGATGCAACTGTTAAATTTGAAATTTGGGACACTGCTGGACAGGAGAGGTACCACAGCTTGGCTCCTATGTATTACAGAGGCGCTGCTGCTGCCATCATTGTCTATGATATTACCAGCGCAGTATGATATCTCTCCCTCATCATATTTTGACTGTATTGAAGTAGGCCAATGAAGCCTATTTCATAGGCTGTTTGTGCGATGTGTCATTGGAGTTTTTGAGGCAAATGGTCATTGGTTTTTGCATCATGAAGTAGTGTCCCGTTTTTGGAATATACTTTTCGACATCTTTCATGAGCGTTGTTGGATTTGGTGTGGGTTGGATGTTGATCTCTTGTCTTGCTTTGCTAAACTATGCTTTTGAGTTTTTTATTCCCTTTGTGCCCCAAGGTTTCATATAATAGGTTTCATATTGATTTGAAGGATTCATTTACACGTGCAAGGAAGTGGGTCCAAGAACTTCAAAAACAAGGTATTTGCTGATTTCCTTTTTCTACGAATGTTTGATATGAATAGATTACTGCGACATAATAGATGCTTATTAAATATATAGAATGAAAAGTAGATCCAAAAATGTATGTTTTGATTACTAGTTTCATCCCACTGTTAATCCTTAACTTTAATACCTTGTTACTTGGTTCTTACTGTTTTCAAACTTGTAATTGAGTCCCTGCCATGACAACCTACGGCAAGTGTGTTGATAGGTTGTTGTGATTGTAGTCTATTACGAGAATTAGAAGTAGTTGTTGGCTAAATTAAGTGTTGCAATGACTGATTGGCATAGAATATTAAAACCTACAATGCTGTAAGTTCATGGGACTTATCAAGTGATAAAGTGATAAGTAGAATATCATTCTCATGAGGACTTGGTTCAACAACCTGATTTAGCATTAATTTAATAAGTTCACTTAATTTGAGTAAGGCATGACTTGAACAATGATTAAAGGAGAATAAAATCTAGCTACAAAATTAAATCTAAGCCTCGATTACTTTTTCATGTCTCACTAGTAATAGGTGCCGAATTTTCATTTGTGCCATTGATATTCCACATCTCCAAGCCTTGATCCGCCTCCATTTGGGTTGCAAGCCTCCTCTCAAGTCGAAAATAAAGAAAAGCCTTGAATTATATGAGGAAACCCTCAAAAATCATGTCCAAGTGACACCAAAGACTATGGTCATTATTTTCTTGTTATTGTCTTACTGAGCTGCGGCACCACAATGTTGGTGCTAATGCACTAGGGACCACTCCTCAATGTCTTCCATCTCTACAAAATACCGCATGAACACCAATGAAAAATAATATTTGATTGCTTTAAATCAGTTTTTACTCAATTCCCTCCATATTTACCAATAATTCACAAAAATAGCAATGAGCCCAGTTCTATAGAAAAGGAATTAAAAGATCTCCTAAGTGTAATGATGACTCCGCAAATAACTCCTAAAAATATATCAAATATCACAAAATATGGGGAGTCATCAATGATGTAGTTTTGCGACTAGCTAGATGGCCTCTTTACAGCCTCAATTCACCATCAAAGTCCAAAGAATCTAGGCTTGGGAGTTTGAGAGTCTCGGCAGTAGGATTGCAGAGCCTGCCGGGTCATCGTATGTGTCATTGGATTTCTAATCATTGTCATAGTGGATACCCAATTACAAGATTCAGAAACTATGAGGATTTGATTTCAAACTTTCGAAATATAAGGAACATTTTGAATTTGTGATGAAACTATAGGGACTTACAAAGTAAATGAATCAAATATCTAATGTACGTTTATAAACCCGGGGATGAACTAATAGCCCTTACAAATAAGGCAATCTTGTCTACGTATTTTCACAATGCTTTGTGAAATTCTTTAATCTGTCTTACTTTTGATCTAGGTGAACCCAAATATGGGGGAAAGTATAGATTAGTCGTTTTGTTCCGTGGCAGTGATCTAGAATGGATGGTTAGGGTGCGAAAGTTGATGAGAATGAGAGAGAGAATGGGCTGTTTTAAGGGAAGCTACAAATAAGCCCACAATGATAGCCTAATCACAACGTTAGACAAAAAAGACAAGAAAGAAAAAAGGGAACTCTAACAAATGTATGGTATTAGTTATTATTTAAAACTAATGCCTAAAGACCGAAACCCCCCCCCCAAAAAAAAATAATGCCTAAAGACGTGCTGTCACCTAATGTGTATTATCTTCTTCAATTTCTCCCTGCGTTATTTTCTGACGTGTGTTTTCCTCAAATTCCCACTTTCTAAGGCATTAAATAATATGTAATTTACCTATATATACATACATATACATATATATATATATATATGCTTCTGATGCTTCACTATCACCGATCTTCTATGACTCCTACATTATGGAATTGGTCACAGGTGTTATGACTCGAGAAATAACAGTGGGCAGATTCCTTGTAGTTTTAATTTAAAGTTGATATCCTCTTGATAAGATCCAACCCTTTAGGCCTTACTTTCGGAGTATGGGGTCTAGGTCCGCATAAGTAGAAATTTAATGAATGAATTCAATTTGGTTGTTGCAGGGAACCCTAATATGGTTATGGCTCTTGCTGGTAACAAAGCTGACCTGGAAGATAAGAGGCAAGTGACAGCTGAAGTAAGTATTACTATTTTTGGCTATTCCTATCAGGATGTATGATCTTATTAATTAAGAATTCTATTTCCTTTCACAATCTGATCGAGCTGCAATTCTGGTGATACGTTATAGCAGTATGCTTATACTCTTCTTTCATGATTGGGCAATTTCTTTATTCACCAGCTCATTATTTCTAATATTGGCATTGCAGGAGGCCCGTGTATATGCTGAGGAAAATGGTCTCTTTTTCATGGAGACCTCTGCCAAAACTGCAGCCAATGTAAATGATATATTTTATGAAATAGGTATGGTTCCTTTCCTATCCTGTGTTTTCGGCTGCTTAATGAGGATGATTTATAATTCTAATGCGACTCGTGTTTGGTTTGCTTCCTTTATTGAATTGCATGAAGATAATTTAGAAGGGGAGACGTGTCTTTCCTCTAGAGAGAAGTCTGCCCCTAGTTTGTGGAGCAGGATATTTTTCGTATTTCCAATATTTTGGCTTGGATTGAAGTTGGATGTTTTTCAGGCCGGGGTTTGCTGAAGTTTAAACTGTAATGATATAAATAGTTAAATACCCATGTGATTGGTTAGCGACTGTGAAACTGACATGTTTATGAGTTGTAACACTTGTTAATGTCAAAATAAATATACTTTTAGCTAAAGGCCTTGTTAAGCCTAATGGCATGAAAGCTTCTTTGTTAATGAAAAGTCACTATTTCGATCCCACTTACAA